AACTCCTCTCCTAAGACCACAATAGGAAGAATAGATTGGTCGAAATTTCAGCGACTCATGGAAAATACATGCCGTGAAGACCCAGACCAGAACTTGGAGGATGTCATCAAAGAGGCAATGAGGGAAGCTTCCTGTCTCCTCCCGTTCACCGGCAAGCGTTCAGATTTCGTCGTAGAACTGTAAAAACTGTGTGCGCTTTGCCGAAGGGCGGAAAGGAGATACAGACGGACGAAAGCAATATGCGACTTGAGGCTGGCACGACGCATACAGAAAAAAGTCCATTGAGGTTTAGACAAACTTGAACAGGAACGCTGGAAATCATTCTGCGAATAATTGGATCCCCGAAAGCCGTTGTCACGCATCTGGAGCACTATTCGTAGCCTGCGCTCAACTCCCCAACAAAGCCTTTCATGGCTTTAGCCCTACATTTAGGCCGCACCGAACTTGAAGCGGCAAAAGAGTTTGGTGCGCGAATCACTGGTGTGTCCACCTTGTCCGCTGGCGCCATTAAGAGTGTTATTCCTGAACCCCGCATCTTAGAAACGGACAATCTTTTCACTATAGAAGAACTTGACGCATCTTTGGCGGCTTCCCGACGATCATCTTCACCAAGACCCTATGGCATCACCTACGCCGCTCTAGCCAACCTTCAACAGGAGGCCAGGGGACAGTTGTTATGCTATTACAACCACTCATGGCAGGTGGGCATTGTCTCCCAGGATTGGAAAATAAGTCGACTTGTGCCACTACTCATAGCAGGAAAGTCACCATTTGATTTGACATCATTTCGCCCTATTGCCCTCGCAAGTTGCGTAGGAAAAGTCATAGAAAGGATGATACTTACACGCCTAGAATGGCACCTCGAGCGCTACAGCCTATACTCAAACTGCATGACGTGTTTTCGGCGAGGTAGGTCATCTCTTGACAACGTGATTGATCTCACAACATTTATCCAGCAACAGAAGAACCTCAAGTGCATACCACTGGCACTCTTCCTCGACGCCAAAGGGGCTTATGATAACGTAACACATAAAACCATCCTAGACTCGTTGGAAGCGGTCGGAATCGGTGGTCGGATGTTCCAATGGATCCAGGATTATTTGACGAGAAGGTCCTTTTTTGTACAAACCTCAGGGGGACCTACCACCAATTACTATACTTCCCGTGGCGTCCCTCAGGGCGTCGTTTTAAGTCCCACTTTATTTGATGGTAGGCCTTCGTGATGGTAGGCATTCGTAAAATTTTGCCAAGTGCTATCCTCATATCTATATATGCTGACGCTATTTGTCTATGGACTTCGGCTGTAACTCGTTCACAAGGACGTGCAAGAATTTAGCAGGCTGCCACCCTGACATGCTCATATCTCCGCAAACAAGGTCTTTCCGTCTCAACGGACAAATGTGCATTGGTTGCGTTTACTCGCAGAGCCATGACACAATACCCCGTTACCATCAATCAAGAAAATATTCCATGCCAGAAGAACAATCGCTTCCTGGGTGTGATTATTGACAGGGACCGTTCGTGGAGTGCCCACTGCAATTACCGGAAAAGAAGGCTAACTTTCATCGTCCACATAATGCGGTTCCTCTGCGGAAAATCTTGGGGCACATCGATAAGTTCAATGATGCAGCTATACAGGGCAATGTTTCTGATATTTTTGCGCTACAGCTTGCCGTTACTGGCAAGTACGTGCAAGACGAACATCCGCACCCTCGAAAGTCTGCAAGGACAAGCACTACGCGTGTGCCTTGGATTGCCGCGATGCACCTCAACCTACGGGGCAATTATGATCGCAAGGGGACATCCAATTCAAACATACATCACCACTGACAATTTGAGAGCCCACATAAGACACCTCTGCCGAGTTCGTGGTCACCATGTTGCAGTGTTGCCACTTCAAAGATGACAAGCGATGTTTTAGAAGATTATTTCTGCCCATAGAGAATGCCTTCTTTTTGGCTTCACTCCAGCAACAAGACCAGCGTCACCTCCGTGGTGCCTACAACAACCACAGGTGTGCCTCACTATTCCGAGAATAACGAACAAGAGCCGTCATTCAACAGTGGTCCTACGACAGGTGACATTGTCCCTACTCAACAAAAAATACGGCCAGAGGACCCACATTTACACCGATGGATCGGTCTCGGCTGACAGCTCCACAGGTGCTGTTGTCATCCCGACGTACCAGGTCACTATAAAGTTCAAACTAGCGCATAGGACAACATCCACAGCAGCGGAGCTTGCCGCCTTACGTGCTGCTGTACTTTATATCGCGGAATCACGGCCTCGAAAATGGGCTGTGTTCTGCGACTCGAAGGCATCCCTTCAGAGCTTGCAATCAGTTTTACGACAAAGGGCGCATCAACAACTAGTGAATGAAATAAGAGAAGTGCTTCACGAAGTTTTATCGGAAGGACACGACATGGTGTTTCAGTGGTTACCGGGACATCGTGGTATTGTCGGTAACGACCTTGCTGATAATGCTCCCCAATCTGCCCACGCGGACGCCCAGACAACCGCCATTTCATTGTCGAGAACCGTCGCTGCAAGGGGCCTTCACTCGTTCGCCAACACAATGTCGAAAACTTGGCTGAGTGACCCCAGTGTCGGGAACCGCCGCCTACGAAAATTGGACCCATCGAGAAAGCTTCAAGTTCTATCGGACCTCTCCCGCCAGGATGCAACTTTACTGCGCCACCTGTGGTTAAGAGTAGCTTTTACGAAGGCGTACTCTTTTCGCATAGGAATGGCGGATAGCTCCCAATGTGAATCGTGCGACACTGACGAGACAATAGAACATCTGCTGTGTTCATGTGAACGCTTTGCGAACAAACGCAACTTGCTGCGCGAAACGTTAGAGACACTAGACAGTAGACCGTTTTCCGAAGAGAAGATCCTTGGTTCATGACTCTACGCGTCGCAGGCCAGCAAAGCGACGCGGGCATTGCTAAGTTTTCTAAAGACAACCGGACTACGCGACAGCTTATGAGCGTGCAATGGACAAGGTCACATCTACACAAATGTTGCCCTTCTCTTCTCTCTCTCTTCTCCTTCAATCCCCTCATTCCTTCCCCCAGTGCAGGGTAGGAAACCTGGCGTGCGTCTGGTTGACCTCCCTGCCTTTCATTTCTTCCCTTCCTCCTCCTCCTCCTCCCATGTGAATGAAACCACCGCAACAGCAGCAAGACCATGAAATGTGTGATGGTTAACGGACGTTCGTCACTATGTTTGTTGATAGCGGACGAGAAAGAATTATTATGAACTTTTTATTTCATGGCATGGGTGGAACGGCTGATGACGCACGGATACGCTACCATGTGCAGCGCCGTTAAGTCGGACGTCGCGGCCAACCCAGCTGTCAGGGTCGCAACTCCGGAGGACCAGGATCAGGCCACGGCTCACGAGGACCACACCCGGTAGGCCTCGCCCACGAACCTGCTCCCGGCCACTGCACCCAGGCAGGAGCCGTTCAGCAGGTCTCGGCCTTGGACCTTGAACAGACACACCGGAGCTCGACCTGGCCGACACGTACGGGTCTCACGTTCGGCTCAGGAACGCTGCCAGGAACTCGTCCTCTCGAGCGGCGCACCGCTTCCTCTGCCTTCGTGGCCTCAACCCTCGAGCTCTCTTTTCCGCACGTTCCTTCTTGGCCAGGGCACGGCCAGGTACCCTCGGGTGCACACTGCAGCTCATGAGCTCGCGGCCCACGTCTGAGTCAGGCGCGTCGCTCGGTACGGCTCGGCACCGCTCGGCGATCCTCGATTCAGCCAGAACTCCCCTGGCACCTGGATCCTCGGCCACCCTGAACCTCGCCCGGCTCCGTGCTCCTCTGTGCGCACTCCCGCGCCTCGCCCGGCAGAACATCTCGCTCGTCCCTTGCCGAAGTGCGACGCTCTGGTGACACCGGCGCTTGATGGCATGGGTGCGGCTACTGAGCAGCCAACCCGCATCGGAGACGCGATGCTCCATGCGGGGAATGGCCAGCCCGTCCAGCGAAGAGCGTGCGCCGAGACGCGATGCTCGACGCAACCGTGACCATTAGCCAGGCCACGTTCATCGCTGTGTTGAACGGCTGACCGCGGAGACACCTCGCCGAGATCCGCGATGCCCTCGGCAAGGAAAAGAACAGCAGGCCAGGCCGCGCCCCGAGATGCAGTACTCGTGCCGGCAATGCCGCCCCAGCTGGTGGTTGGACGGCAGCAGAGTGGACGGCCGCGTTCCCTGGCCGGAACCTGGATCGCCTGCGTCCAACGCTTCGGCCCGCTGTCTCCCGTATGCCGCTGCTCCGGCTCGTCCCCAGCCACCCAGCCTACTGCCACGTAATGATCACACGTGGCCCAATCGTAGCACGCCACCTCTATGGGCCACCACTGGTCATCGGCTGATTCGCTGACACTCACGCGCACATTACACGCGCCTTGCCCCGCACTTCCGTCGTTGTCGTTTTCTTCACTCATCACAAAATGTAATTGATGACTTTCATGACATACATGTCTTGATTTACATGTTATGATTGGTCAGTTATGTTCATCATACAGTCATGTTATGTAATATCAAGTTTGGTATCGACACTATTATCCAAACGGCCAGGAGAGCTAAAAGTCGTAGTCGGCTAGATATATATATATATATATATATATATATATATATATATATATATATATATATATATATATATATATATATATATATATATATATATATATATAGACAGATAGATTAATAGATAGACAGATAGATAGATAGATAGATTGCTAGATCGCTCTAAGTCGCCAAGAAGTAGTTCGCATTTAAAAGCTATGGATTCAGCGTACGTACTTCATTCAATCTACATTCAGCACAGTTGAGATGACTCGTCAAGTATGGCTGAATAAGAAGCCAGCTTCTGTATGTCACGCACAGTGAATGCAGAGAAACTTATCGCAGCTCTCTGAAGAACTCTATGTACTGCCTACTTTGCACTCACAGAAAGGCAGCGTTTCTAATTGCATGCGGCTTACCGGCATAAGACACGTGGCGTGCTCAGTCCAATTTCCAATGTATGACGAGTAACGTACGCTAGTGTTTGTTCCATAACTAGCATTTGTTACGGGTTGATGGTGCTGGAGGGTTACATTGAGCCCGAGAGGGTAGAAAGGCCTTGTAGTCCTGTTTTTCTCGTTTGGTTTTCTCGTTCTCCTCCGGCGCCCTCCTTTCCTGCTCTCAATCTTCAGACCAGCCAATGAGTATTCCTCGTAATATGCGTCTTTGCTTTTCGGATAGTGAAGTGGCTCGGCTACATTTTGTGTGTCTTCCACCGCACTTTTAGAGATCCTGCAGAGAAGCAATAAATTGGTAACATCGCACGCTTCAAAACAATTCGCGAGGCTGCTTTTTGACTGCAGGCCACACATTTTTTATTATATTGTCCAATGTGACTTGAAGTAACGGCGAGGAAACGCAAACCAAAATATTCCAAGCGACAGACACTGAGAAATGTAACAGTACTAAAGATAGCATTCAAATAATGTTGAGCGCCTTGTCCGTTAGAAACACTTCATGACAGAAGACACATGTACACTATCGAAGTTTTGTGAATATCAACGCGTTGCGAGGTATATCGTGCTGCTTCATGAGGCAAATCAATTTGACACTAAAATGGTGCAATTGAGGAAAAGCAGTGTTCGTACTTTTCATTGAATAGTTTAAAATCACAGGAATCAGGCTCGTGCCTTCGAAAATCATCATGCGTTGGACAATATGTTGATTTTCATAGGAAGAACGAACCTCCATCATTCAAATTATAGCTCAATAGCGCTAAATTATACATTTTAAGCATACTAAACTTGGACTGAGCTATTCTATTCAGCTAAGAACACAAATTTCATGTCGTTATGAGAACGCTAAGCGTAATTTTCACTGATTTTGAGAGAGCTGTTCCACCATGACGATAGAAATAGACGTTTTTGTACAGTTTTCACGAGCATTTTGAGAAACACCTTTAGTTTAGTAATGCTTCGCCGAATAAAGTACTTTTTTATAAAAATGTGATGAAATAAATAATTGTAGTTGTTTGCATACACAAATTGCTACAAATCAGGTATTTCCTGTGAAGTTCTACCATTTCTAGCTTCATATGTTTTACTACAATATCTTCCTTAAACTAAGACATAACATTTTCCAAAATAAACTTATCATTTATAGAGTGCCTTTGACTTACGCTTCCTTGTGTTGAACCCGTGCCATGATTGTCTGCTTGCTCTACAAAACAAGCCAAGTGTTAAAAAAGCAAAACATCTTTCTACTGCTGCTTGTGCTGCTTTCTCCGCTGTATGGAAAGCATTTTTGTGCGTATTTTTTGTGAAGGTAGTGAGAATGCTTTCCCTTTTGGAATCGAGAGCGCCCTCCTACCTGGCGCTTCGTTCCCCAGCTGCCGCGCGCGCGCCGACGGCGTAGCCCGAGCGCGCATAAGCGCCGGCATCCGCCAAGATGGCTGTCAGGGCGCCTCTTGGTCTGGGCCAGTCAACCGTCGGCTCTTTTCCGCGTTGGCATGTCCGGGCACGCTACTCTGGCACGCTGCGCGGGCCTACGTCACAACGCAGCGCCATTTCCCTTTGGGCCGCGCGTGACATCCTCCTCTCCAACGAGCTGTGTTGCGCCCGACGATTCGCTCGTCGCGGCAGATGCTCTCAGGCCTTCACGAGGGGGTTGACGCGCTGCTAGGCAGGTGGCTTCTCGTTCGTGCGTTCGATTTCGGCCCTTGTGCGGGAGTCGTCGCGCCCTAGGCAAGCGTACTTGCTCGGTCTTGCGGAGTTCCCTACACGGCCTGCAAGCCCGTGAGTGTCGCACTGTCGCAACATCTTGGGTTTATAAACCCGTTGTTGTTGTTATCCTGCCTCGTGCGTGGTTTCTGCGCCGTGCCTGAGAAATTGACGAACCCGGCCGCAGCGTCTTTGCACGCGGCGACAGTGGAGGACGTCGCATCCCTACACGGTTGCGCTTAGTAGGTAAGCCTAGTGCAAACCTATCTCCACATAACTGGCGCCCAACGTGGGGCCCCCTACGGTGATGCGAGTCGCTTGAACGAAGACCACAGTCCTAGCCAAGCCAGTGACAGGCTGTATCAGCTGTTCGAGACTCACACGCTTACGGGCCCGTCCCCAGCGCTGTCTCCGCTCGCTGGCCTTCCCCGTCAGCAGCACGGTTGACAGCTAAAATCGCCGCACCCAGTTGGCGGGAACGCGCTTACTGACCCGTCGTGGTCGCGAGCGCAAATGGTAGACGATGTCGTTTGCGAGCCTGCTCGCTTAACCGACAACGTCGCCACGCCCACCGACGCTCGCTGGCCTGAGACTCGCGTGGGCGACGCTTTCGACGGACGTGGGCCACCGTGCTCCGCTGTCGACCCGTTTTCCAGTCGCGTGAGGCCTCAAGCACCAGTCGGAGCGCAAACCCTACCCTCCTCCATGCCGTGTACTGGCCCTTTTCGGTCGGACGCGCATGTTGGGGAACAGGCGTGCGCACCTGTTACGGCTGCGCCCGCGTCGGAGCAGTCACTGCTGCACGCAACTGCGGCGCAGCTCCTAAACGTTCTGTTGGAAGCGGTGCGCTCGCTGCCTTGTGCTTTAAAGCGAGACCCCGAGTCCTCTCAGCCAAACGTTCTCAGTAGCTTAAGGGTACCTCCGCCTGAGTAGAGCGGTTATTCGGACCGCATGAGTGCCACAGAGTACCTCGAGGTGCTGGACCGCTTTCAGCAGGCTACGCGGCTGAGCGACAGCGTTATGCTAGGCTCTGTTTTGCCCGTGTCGCTGACAGCCCAAGCGGCGAGGTGGTACCGGCTCGTCGGCCACCAAGCTCGCTCGATGGAGGAGTTTAGGGCGCTCTTCCGTAGCGAATTCCTTCCTCCTGAATACGAGCGCCGCATGCGTCGCGAGTTATAGCTTCGCACATAGCACCCCGACGATTCTCTTCTCGAGCACGTTTGGGCTTTGCAGGAGCTCTACCTCCGTGCCGATCCTACGGCATCAGACGCCGAGAAGGTGGGGCGAGCCACACGTCAGGCTCATCCAACTTTCGCTGCTTACATTCGCAGCGCCCGTTATCGTGACCTAAACGAGCTGGCATTCGATGCGTGGCGTATTCAGGGCGACATTCTGGCGGCGCGAGCTTATCGCCCGCCGCCACCGGCCTCCGCGTCTCTCGAGCCTCGTTGCGCGTGGGCTGGTCGTGACTCGTCATACTGGTGTTCCCCGAACCACGAGGCGGCCTCTGCCGCGAGAGACCGAGACGAGCTTGATGTGTCGGACCGCGCCCTGGACCCGTACTCGTACGCTCGGGCGGCCACCGTTGCCCGGCAGCGTGAACAAGAACGGAAACCCCGTGTTCCAGTGCACGAGGGGATATCCGATCGCGGAGCCCCCATTGCGGCTAGTGAACAGACACCTCGTAGCTCTAAAGGATCGCCGAAATCCCCCCCCCCCTGTTGGAGAAAAAGGCATTGTCTGCTTCCGTTGCCGTGAGCGTGGTCACAGCGCGCGTGAGTGCAGCGCGCCCCAACCGACACAAGGGCCTGCTCGCACGTCGGCAAACGGGGTGAGCCATCGGTGAGCTCCACCTTGCCGGCGGCTGCAGCAGTAATTAAGAGAGCACGGGAGTGTAACACAACCTCTGGCACCGATGGCGTGTCACGCTAGACTAGACATTCCAGCCACGCCGGCGCCGTTCATCGCCCTTACAATCGCTGGTCGAGAGTTTGCGGCGTTGCTGGATAGCGGGGCTTCGATCTCGCTGTTCGGCGAAGAGGTTAGGGCTCATTTGCGCGACCGCTCTGTCCGCATTCGAGCTTGCGACACTGCCTTCCACCTCGCCAGTGGTACAGCCACATCGTGCGGCACTGCGCGGTGGGTTGTGCGTTAGAAGGATCGCGCACGCCGAGAGCGCTTTGTGCATCTTTCTGGTCTTTCCGTGCCTGTGATTCTCGGTAGCGACTTTCTGGCGCGCACAGGTATCGGGATTGACGTCGCAAGCGGAGGCTACAGGGACGGCCCTTCCGGAACCCTACGGCCTCTCGCTGCACATCCCGTGGTCTCGGCTGTCAGTCAGTCGCCGGACGCCACGAGGAGGAAGGAGGAAAGGAGACCAAGCCTTGCCCCCGCGGCCCGCGTCTCCTCCTCTGACGCAAAGACTGGACCTTTGGCCGGCGCAGCGGAAAATGGTCCGTGCGTACAGCTTTCCCTCGAGCATAATGCTGCGGCGGTGAACAAGGTCTCGGCTATGCCGGTGACCCCCCCGCTAAGCAGCAACTCGAATGGCTCGCTGCCACCTTTGCTGGACAGCTTGTCGAAACGCGAAAAAGCACGCCTGTAGTCGCTGTTGACACGTTTCAGCGACAGGTTCACAGAACGCCCGGGTTGCACCTCTCTGGTGAGGCACCGGATTGACACAGGCGACGCACAACCATGGAAATGCAATCCTCGCCCCGTTAGTGCGGCAAAGAGAAAAGCAGTTGACCAGGGATTGGATGAGTTGATTAAGACTGGAGTTGTCCATTGCTCAAACAGTCCTTGGAGTTCACCGGTGGTAATGATCCCCAAAAGAGACCGCTCTCATCGGCTTTGTGTGGACTACCACCGGCTGAACGAGGTCACGAGGAAAGATGCTTATCCTGTGCCTAACGTTGACTCGATTGTGGCTGCTCGAGATGATGCTTGCTGCTTAAGCACCTTGGATGCTAGCCACGGTTACCTAAAGGTTCAGATGGAGCAAGTGGACGCGGAGAAAACTGCGTTCAGCTCTCACAGAGGTTTGTACGAGTTTACCCGCATGCCGTTTGGCTGTTCTGGAGCTGCAGCTACGTTCCAGAGATCAATAGACCACGTTCTAGGGGACGCTAAAAGGCAACACGCCGTGGCGTACCTCGACGACATCGCCATCTTCTCTCGAACGTTCGAGGAACACCTTCACCACTTGGAGGATGTCTTCGGGAGGTTGCGTGCTGCCGGGTTGACTTTGAACCCGAAGAAAGCTCAAATAGCTGAGACTCGCATCTCACTATTAGGCTTTACCATTCAGAGCGGTCGTGTTCTGCCATGCGAGGAGAAGGTACGTGCCATTGTGGAGTACCCGACGCCGGCAAACATTCAGGGCCTGAGGCGCTTTTCGGGCATGGTGAACAACTATCGACAGTTACTCCCAAACTTTGCGGCCCTCCAAGCGCCCTTGACTGCACTCTTGAAAAAGTCGGCACGATGAAGCTGGGGGCCAGAACAAGAGCGAGCCTTCAAGGCACTTTCCGAAGCTCTAGTGGCCACAGCCGAGTTAAAGCTGCCCGACCT